AAATAAAAAACATATGGAAAATCAGAACTCAGCTAATTATTGTGGGGAAATGAGTTCTTTGTCGCCTGCATAAGCCCGACAGAATAGAAAAGTTTTCAGCAGGCATTTAAATGTTGGCACAGAAGACGCACCTGCTGAATCTCTAGCGGCAGACTGTTCCACAGGACTGAGCTGATGACAGATAAAGGCTTGGTTTCTTGTTGCTGTCAAACAAGCCTCACCAACTTTGGGAACATCCAGCGATGCTCCTGCAGAGGATCTCGGTGACAGATAGCGTGAAAGAAGAAGGACTCACAGGGGAGCCCCTTATTTCCCAATCCTGAGCAAGCAGCTCCATACGTAGCCTCAAAATGATGCCTAGCCTCAAAAGAGCCAGACTACATTCGCTGCAGCTTTCTTTGTACCAAATATGTATTCTAACACATGCTAACGTGCTTAGTATGTTACAATATTTGACTTGCATGGTTGCTGGTTTTGTTTTGTTTCGTCTTCTGTGACCACACAACAAAAAGACTGATTTGCATTGCTAACCCTCCATGAATTTCTCCAATCCTCTTTTAAAGCCTTGTTATTGATCATCACTTTCTCCTGTGGGAGGGAGTTCCACAGTTTAACTATACACTGCACGAAGAAGGACTTTTATTTTATCCATGCTGAATCTTCCAACGTTCAGCTTCATGGGGCATACATAAGTTCTGGCATTATGAGAGGGGGAGAATAACTTTTCTCTATCCGCTTTTTTCGAGACGTACATGATTTTATAAGCTGTGCATGTGCGTGCCTGTGTGTGTTGAGGGGCAGAACAACAGCATCATAGCTTGGCAGCTGATGGACACAGAAGCACATATTGAGCTTATGTGCCTGGCATGGCTCTGTTTGGGATGCCCATGTGATGGGAGGGAATTCATGATTCAGCTTTCGTAGGCAGGTCAAGTGAGAAGAGAGGGTATAATTCGATTATCATCTTGTGACCGTCGTCTGAAGTGGAGTCCAAGGGGTGGGAGGAAGAGAAGGGCAAACTGAGCCTCCGATTTATTATTCCAACCCCATCACACCAAATTCTGAGAACATTTGTGACCTCAGCATGGAACTTATACAACCAACCAATGTTCCAACCTAAGCCATTTTATCGCCTATGAGGTCTTGCCCAGATAGGAAGTCATACTTATGGAGGATAGGACAAAGGGCTTATCCTCTGGAGAGTATCGCCTAGAGCCTTCTGAAGTTCTCCTCATCTAAATGCTCCATGTGATTTTGGAGCAAAACTGATGTGCTAGGCTTTCTGGACCATGGTTCTTTTAAAGGTCCCAAATTCACAGTTGGGCAGTACTTCTATTAGGACAAAACAAAATGACCCAATAGATGGAGCTGGAAAGCCACAGCTTGAGGAAGCCTAGGCTAATCAAAGCCAGTGGGACATACAAACTTAAGAACGAAAGAAGAGCCTTTCTGGATCAGATTAATAATAATAATAATAATAATAATTTATTTATTTATTTATACGCTGCCCATCTGGCTGGGCTTCCCCAACCACTCTGGGCGGCTTCCAACCAAAAATTAAAATACAGTAATACATCAAACATTAAAATCTTCCCTAAACAGGGCTGCCTTCAGATGTCTTCTAAAAGTCTGGTAGTTGTTGTTCTCTTTGACATCTGGTGGGAGGACGTTCCACAGGTCAGGCACCACTACCAAGAAGGCCCTCTGCCTGGTTCCCTGTAACTTGGCTTCTCGCAGTGAGGCAACCGCCAGAAGGCCCTTGGCACTGGACCTCAGTGTCCAGATAGAACGATGGGGGTGGAGACGCTCCTTCAGATATACTGGACCGAGGCCATTTAGGGCTTTAAAGGTCAGCACCAACACTTTGAATTGTGCTCGGAAACGTACTGGGAGCCAATGTAGGTCTTTCAAGACCGGTGTTATGTGGTCTCGGTGGCCGCTCCCAGCCACCAGTCTAGCTGCCACATTCTGGATTAGTTGTAGTTGGCCCATCTAGTCCAGCATACTTTTCTCACAGTGACCCACCAGGTGTCCCAAGGCAAAGTCCCAATATAGGACCTGAATCTAACAGTGCTCTCATAAGAGCAGAAGAAGAGCCTATTAGACCAGGCCATCTAGGCCTGTTCTCACAGTGGCCACCCAGATGCCCACAGGAAAACCCTCAAACAGTACCCAAGCATGAGAGGCCTCCCTACCCCCTATGACTTCCAGGATCTGATATTCAGAAGTATTCGTGCCTGTGATGGTGGACGTATCTGTTGGTATTTTAGTAACTTGGTTAAAGAACAAAAGGAGAATTCCAGGATTGCCTATATCCAGGTTCAGGGCAGGTACTCATTGCTGAGGGAGCCTTAAAATCACAAAACATTAAGCAAAGCAAAGTGTGGAAATGCAGGCTGTGAGGCCTTTAAAGTATCTCCTCCTAAGTTACCCACTTCCCTTAGTATAGAAAGAGACCACACAGTAGGTAAGTTAAAAATGGTTTACTTACAAACCAGAGGTACCACCTTCTCTGGAGGACTGAGGGAGCCAGATGCGACGTCCCAATGTTGCACAGCATCCCAACATCACTTAGGGGGCCCTCTGAACATTGAGGGGGCCCAGTCCCCTAAAAGAAAAAGATGGGGGGTCCACAGTGCCTTGGTCCCCAGAAACCGGCGCCCTTCTTACAAACTCTTCAGAGTTCAGATTCATGTGCTTTCCCATACAGTAGGTAAGAAACCATACAGCAGCAAGAAAAGAAAAGCAGTATAACATAGTTTCAGAAAGAGGTAAATGTTTCTAAATTGTTTGTACAGAAACACAAAGTTGGCTTGCAAGACAAAGATGTCTAAGCACAGACATCATTACTGTTTGGGTTCACATGGTGGGAGGGCGAAAGAACAAAAGTTTGATAGCCCTTCCTCCCAAGGTGAGGGGGTGTGACCTAGCTAAGGCTGGCAGGATAGCTTACTCTGTGGTCTTAACCCTTTCATGTATTAACCAGAGTTAAGCATGTTGGTTATATAAGGCAAAGAAGGATGTTTTTCTCACCACAGTCCACACTCAAATCGTGCCTCTCTGCAATGAACACAAATCTTGCATTTGGGGTGCCCAGTATGGTGTTGACAGGCTTGGCAACAATCAGAAAGGCCCGTCCTACCACACACAAGACCTCAGAGCCATCCCCCTCCACTGTTCACTGCCCCACTTGGAAGCACCTCTCTCTGTATAAGTTTTTCTTTCTCTGGATTAATGGGCTCTTTAAAGATGGGGAAGCAATCCGACTTAGTTCACATTTAAAGGCCAGTCTACCTAAATTCACACTTCCCAAAAGAAAATGGAAAGCAAAAGGCAGTCATATTTCAAAATGTGTGCTTCTCCAGATTTTGCAATGCAAGTAATGCATAGAAAAACATATTGGATTAAAATGGCTGCTGGTGTGTGGTTAGACACAAAATGGCTGTTCTATGGGGCATGGGCAGACCCAAAATGGCTGCTGCATGGCCATGATAGGGTTGCCATATTTCAAAAAGTAAGAATCAGGACACCCCACTCAAAAAGTTGTTGAGCTCAAAAAATTGTTGAGTGTGAGTGCTTGGGGCTTTAGGATTTAGAGAAGAATGAATGAATGAATCTTTATTTGCATCAGCCGTCGGCCATAGCAATAAAACGGTACGATATACAAAGAAGAAAAATTAAAAGGTCAGTTATATAAAATACATTTTAGGGTTTTGAATCAATAGTCAAATAGTGGATCTTATTCTAATTGCCCCACCTAAAAACCTTGCAACCTTTGCTGTCACCTGCTCATCTTGATCTGCCAAGAGAAAGGACACTGTGGCAGTGGCTGGATGACCCGGAATGGACAATAAAAGAGGGGTGATAATCTCATTCCTCAAATCTTTATAAAGAGCGCAGGACAGAAGGGCATGCGCCACAGATTCGGTACTGCCATCTCCACAGGAACATAAATGTTTTTCATGTGGAATCTGTTGGAATCGTCCTTCAAGTACAGCCAAGGGCAATACATTCAATCTTGTGAGGGTAAAAGCATGACTATATTTTAGAATTGCTAGGTTATGCAGATAAGGTGCCAGAGAGTCAAAATGGGTAGGTGGAAAATAGTCATACCATGGGCAAAATTTCCTTATTGTGGCCAAGTTGCTCTGACACCCGATATCATTTAGGCACTGACAAATTAGACTGTTTGCTTTACTAAAAACCCAAAGTGAGTAGCTGTTGTGGACTACTGCAAAGCTCTCTATGTTGGAGCTACCTTTGAAGATGACCCAGAAACTACAACTAATCCAGAATGTGGCAGCTAGACTGGTGACTGGGAGCGGCCACCGAGACCATATAACACTGGTCTTGAAAGACCTACACTGGCTCCCAGTACGTTTCTAAGCACAATTCAAAGCATTGGTGCTGACCTTTAAAGCCCTAAACGGCCTCAGTCCAGTATACCTGAAGGAGCGTCTCCACCCCCATTGTCCTACCCGGACACTGAGGTCCAGTGCCGAGGGCCTTCTGGCGGTTGCCTCACTGCGAGAAGCCAAGTTACAGGGAACCAGGCAGAGGACCTTCTTGGTAGTGGCACCCGCCCTGTGGAACGCCCTCTCACCAGATGTCAAAGAGAAAAACAACTACCAAACTTTTAGAAGACATCTGAAGGCAGCCCTGTTTAGGGAAGCTTTTAATATTTAATAGATTATTGTATTTTCATATTCTGTTGAAAGCCACCCAGAGTGGCTGGGGAAACCCAGCCAGATGGGCAGGGTATAAATAATAAATTATTATTACTACTATATTATTGTTGTGGTGATCAACCACAAGAGTGAAGTTTTTGATAGACAATTTTAGCCCAGGCACTCTTCTGACAATCTTGCATCGCTAGGGATATTAGGCTGGCGGGATTTAGGTTTAGGCAAAGCCAATAGTTAAGTGTTCTACGCCAAATCTGTAATTGTACTGAGGGAAGATTAGCCTCGAGGCACAATGATGAGTTTGGGACAGAGGGTGGATGGGAACGTGATCTGGCTGCGATATCTGTCACACCATTGATTGCCAGGGGTCATTTGGCTGATCTGGCTGGCTAGGCGAGTGTCCCCTTCCTTCCTCACCGCTCAGTTTGCGTCCCTCCCGAAGCTGCACGCTCGGTGGAAGAGGACAACCATCCTACCGGAGTGTACCATTCTTCAGTCAAGGGATTTTGAGAAGACATGAGGAGGAGTCAACATGATAGAAGTTTATAGAACCACGAACAATGAAGAGTAAGTGAAGCGGCAGTCAGAAATTCCCCTGCTAAGCCACTCTGGGGCCAAAACCAAACAAACCCTGGAAGATTTGTAGTATGAAAAGTTTCTGTATTTTGGCAGGACATTACAATGCATGTATTTGATTGGGAATGATGTTGTTGTTTAGTCGTTTAGTGGTGTCCGACTCTTCGTGACCCCATGGACTAGAGCAAGCCAGGCACTCCTGTCTTCCACTGCCTCCCACAGTTTGGTCAAACTCATGCTGGTAGCTTCAAGAATACTATACAACCATCTCGTCCTCTGTCGTCTCCTTCTCCTTGTGCCCTCCATCTTTCCCAACATCAGGGTCTTTTCCAGGGAGTCTTCTCTTCTCATGAGGTGGCCAAAGTATTGGAGCCTCAGCTTCAGGATCTGTCCTTCCAGTGAGCACTCAGGGCTGATTTCCTTCAGAACGGAGAGGTTTGATCTTCTTGCAGTCCATGGGACTCTCAAGAGTCTCCTCCAGCACCATAATTCAAAAGCATCAATTCTTCGGCGATCAGCCTTCTTTATGGTTCAGCTCTCACTTCCATACATCACTACTGGGAAAACCATAGCTTTAACTATACGGACCTTTGTTGGTAAGATTGTTGTTGTTGTTGTTGTTGTTGTTGTTGTTGTTTAGTCTTTTAGTCGTGTCCGACTCTTCGTGACCCCATGGACCAGAGCACGCCAGGCACTCCTGTCTTTCACTGCCTCCCGCAGTTTGGTCAAACTCATGTTTGTATCTTCAAGAACACTGTCCAACCATCTCGTCCTCTGTCATCCCCTTCTCCTTGTGCAATCTTTCCCAACGTCAGGGTCTTTTCCAGGGAGTCTTCTCTTCTCATGATTTCCTTCAGAACGGAGAGGTTTGATCAATTCTTCAGTGATCAGCCTTCTTTATGGTCCAGCTCTCACTTCCATACATCACTACTGGGAAAACCATGGCTTTAATCATATGGGCCTTTGTTGGCAAGGTGATGTCTCTGCTTTTTAAGATGCTGTCTAGGTTTGTCATTGCTTTTCTCCCAAGAAGCAGGCGTCTTTTAATTTTGTGACTGCTGTCACCATCTGCAGTGATCATGGAGCCCAAGAAAGTAAAATCTCTCACTGCCTCCATTTCTTCCCCTTCTATTTGCCAGGAGGTGATGGGACCAGTGACCATGATCTTCGTTTTTTTGATGTTGAGCTTCAGACCCTATTTTGTGCTCTCCTCTTTCACCCTCAATAAAAGGTTCTGCCTTGCCATGGCGAAGGGGCTTGAATAACGCAGAGAAGCAATGAACTATGCCGAGCAGGGCACCCAAGATGAACAGGTCATAGTGGAGAGTTTTGACCAAACGTGATCCACCTGAAGGAGGAACCGGCAAGCCACTCCAGTATCCCTGCCAAGAAAACTCCATGGACAAAGACAACATCTAGGTAGGTTTGTCTAAACTAGAATGTCTTCAGAAACAGCCTTATTAGAAAAACTAACCAACAAACTGAAACTGACACGGGGACAAATAGAAGAAGACGCCTTCACCCCGATATGGCTCCTCTTTATCGCACACACAGCCCAACAAGACAATGACAAGAATCTGCCATCAGCATACGAATCAATCTGGCTAACCTGATCCTAAACCACATACACACCCCACTCACACACAAAAACAAATTTCACTACAGCCCATCAAAGACAACCAACCACACCCTAGGCCACCCCGCAACCTCTCTCACCGCCAAAGAAATACAAGTGAATAGTAAAAAGAACCCACACTGTGATGCTGACACAAAACCCCACACATACACTACGTAGAATAGAAGCATTGCATTGTACTGTTCCACTTTTATTTTACACCATGAAGGAAGGACTATCAAAAGGGGGAGACTTGACACAAGGCAACCATAATCCCCCAAGCCTGCAGCGAGCCCTACCCAGTTGGCATGCCAACCTTGATGGTCCTAGACAGAAGATCATTACACTCGCAAAGGATCTACATATGGAAGTGGATTCAGTACGGACTGAAACAAAGGACAGTGACCAGCTCTTCCTTCTGGGGGCAGGAAACAGTGAACTCCTCTTTGTCCTCAGGAATGTAATCATGGGGAGGGGAAAAGGAGGAACCGGACAGGTGACAAGACACTCAGGTTACCACCACAACTCCTCCCTGAAACCCTCCTCTTTGTGATGTGTCAATGATGTAGTCATGATGTAGTTATGATGTAGTCTTAGGGGTGTAGCATGGGGAATTAGTAGCTAATAAAAGTTGGGGTCTTCTTTTGTTCAGGGCTTCCATCTTGTTCCACCTTGTCCTGTCGCGACAGTCTTCAATAAAGACCAAGCCTATTGGCTGCTGTTTTGCTCTGGTATTCCTGGCTGGTGTCCTTGTTTTCGTTTTGTTTTTTGTCCAAGGGAGCCCTCAGATTTCTCCGTTAACAGTCTGGCGACCGCTCTCAAAAACTCTTGGTTCTCCTGTGAAGGTGAAGGGGGAGATAGAGGGGATCAGGTGCCACTGGGCAACCTTAGACCAGGGATCCTTTTCCTCTCCCCGCCTTCCCTTTGCGGGCAGTAATCAACTGTCACCAAAAGGCTCAGCCAGGAGGAGCATAGGCAAGGTCAAGCCGGCCAACTAAGGATCCCAGGGTCCACGAGGGACGTTCCTAGGACGTGAGTATGGTTTGAAATTAGAGGGGTGGAAAGATAACGTCTCCATGACAGCCGAGCCTTTCCTTCTCTCTCTCCCTGACCCACTCCCTCAGAGGGTGGCCAGAGGGGGTCGTGGGAAATCTCCCTTTCTCTCTCCTCGACCCATTCCTTCGGAGCGTGGCCAGAAGGGTCGCAGGAAGTCTCTCTCTCTCTCTCTCTTTCTCTCTCCCCGACCCACTCCCTCGGAGGGTAGCCAGAGAGGGTCGAAGGAACATAACTTTCTCCTACGCACTTCTTTCCACCTCCTACCAAACAAATGAAGCTGCACCTCTGGCACGATGACCCTTGTTGGGGATGACTCGTGTACGTGAGAATGCAAGGTCATTTGTTCCCTTTCAAACCTTTGTCTTCTCGGGTCCCAGTCTGGCATTGCACTACGCAAGCGTCCAGTAGGGAATCCCAAACATAGTTCTAAGGTCAGGCAGGCGGTTGTTGTGGACGGTAGATCGGGAGGTTCACGGAAGAAGACGGGGCCCCACACTAGGATTAGTTTTGTGAGCAGCGCTGAGTGAATTCCAGATCCGTGGTTTTTCCGGGTTAAGAGACCTGTGGTTTCCAGGCTAGTTGCCTGTGGTTTTAGTTGTAGGCAGGGATTGCCTTTAGATTTCTACTAGCCTTCTCCGGTCCGATCCGTTGCAGTTTGCCCAGAAAGGGCCACGGGGGGGACACCTGAGTGTTAGACTGAATACTGATAGGACATTCTTTTCTCTTCCCATCCCTCTTTGTCCCTCTCTTGTATTTGTTTGTCTATCTCCTTGTATAGTTTGTTATTGAACAACCCCCCACTGGTATAAAAGGGAAATGGGAGCTCAACCCTCCAAGCACAATAGCTGGACTCCTCCTGACAATCAGGCTTCCATGAAGCTTTTTTTTGCCTCAGAGAGGACTCCAAAGGGGTTGGCAGTATATGAAAACCTATCTAGATCCCCCAAGCCCACAGCGAGCCCTACCCAGTTGGCATGCCAACCTTGATGGTCCTAGACAGAAGATCATTACACTCACAAAGGACCTGCATATGGAAGTGGATTCAGTACGGACTGAAACAAAGGACAGTGACCAGCCCTTCCCTCTGGGGGCAGGAAACAGTGAACTCCTCTTTGTCCTCAGGAATGTAATCATGGGGAAGGGGAAAAGAGGAACCGGACAGGTGACAAGACACTCAGGTTACCACCACAACTCCTCCCTGAACCCCTCCTCTTTGTGATGTGTCAGTGATGTAGTCATGATGTAGTCTTAGGGGTGTAGCATGGGGAATTAGTAGCTAATAAAAGTTGGGGTCTTCTCTTGTTCAGGGCTCCGTCTTGTTCCACATTGTGGCAGGTGGGAGTCCGCCAGGCACCGCCAGGTTGTGGTCCAAGGCCACTTTTGCTGGCTACAAGCGAGGTCTTCGAAACCAGAGAGAGCACGCAGCTCTTCTGAAAATTAAGGGAGTTTATTCCCGTAATGAGACAGAATTCTATTTGGGCAAGAAATGCGCCTATGTGTACAAAGCAAAAAACAACACCGTGACTCCTGGCGGCAAACCCAACAGGACCAGGGTGATCTGGGGAAAGGTGACCCATGCCCGTGGAAGCAGCAGCATGGTGCGAGCAAAGTTCTGCTCCAACCTACCTGCCAGAGCCATTGGACGCAGGATCCGAGTGATGCTGTATCCATCTAGAGTCTAAATTTAGAGTGAAAATAAAATTAAGACTGTGTTCCACTTTTGTATATTTGGTCTTGCCTTGCCTTTTTGTTTCCTGTCCTTGAGGCTCAGTTGCAGGAAAACACTGTTCTGCAATCAGAAGATTCTTTGTTGTTTTTAAGGCATTGAAGCAACAGATTATTTTAAAAACAAAGCTGTGGTCCATGTTCCTGGCAGCAACTCATCCCCAACATCCCTGCTCCTCTTTTATAATAGTGAGGTTTTCTAAAATGCTGTGACCTTACCGTTCAGTTGTTTAGCTCAAGTGGAGACTGAAACGTGGATTTCTTCACCAGCCCTCCTTCCCAGGTAACTGTCAGTTTATATAAAACTGAAGTCATAAATGTGAAAAAAAATAAAGAAAAAATATAGACCAAGCCTACTGGCTGCTGTTTTGCTCTGGTATTCCTGGCTGGTGTCCTTGTTTTTTTTGTCCAAGGGAGCTCTCAGATTTCTCCATTAACATTGTTAACGCCTTTATTTACTAAGAGCAACACCTTGACCTCGGCCCTTTAGCAGATCAGCAACCAGTGCAGATCTTTGAACCCGGGTGCCATATAGCCAGACAAGGCCTCACTCCTGTCAGCAATCGTGTTGCAGCATTCTGCTCTGACTGCAGCTTCCAGGTCAGTTGCAAGTTATAAATCCTGGGTAGGCAAACTAAGGCTTGGGGGCCGGATGCGGCCCAATCGCCTGCTAAATCCAGCCTATGGATGGTCCGGGAATCAGCGTGTTTTTACATGAGTAGAATGTGTCCTTTTATTTAAAATGCATCTCTGGGTTGTTACAGAAATTACGGGGGGGGGGCACATCTTTAAAGTTAAATGTTAAAAATATTATGCCTGAATGTATCCTTTCAACTTGACAGCTCAGGGAAGTTAAAAGGTAAAGGGACCCCTGACCATTAGGTCCAGTCGTGGCCAACTCTGGGGTTGCAGCGCTCATCTCGCTTTATTGGCCAAGGGAGCCGGCGTACAGCTTCTGGGTCATGTGGCCAGCATGACAAAGCCGCTTCTGGCGAACCAGAGCAGCGCACGGAAACGCCGTTTACCTTCCTGCCGGAGTGGTACCTATTTATCTACTTGCACTTTGACGTGCTTTCGAACTGCTAGCTTGGCAGGAGCAGGGACCGAGCAACAGGAGCTCACCCCATCGCGGGGATTCGAACCGCCAACCTTCTGATCGGCAAGTCCTAGGTTCTGTGGTTTAACCCACAGCGCCACCCACGTCTTTAAAAATAAGATAAAATCAACTCCTTTGCTAGTTTCCTCCATTCCAAAGCTATTTTCCTCTTGAAAAAGGACTCCAGGAAGTTCCAGAGGTGAAAATTGCTGGGCTCACTATTAGCCAAAGGAAGCCAAATCTCATCACCTGACTTGCCTCAGGCTCCAGACATGCAAAGGAAGTTCTATTGTACTTTTGGGTGGTGGGTACTTAAGACATATTTGTCTATGCTAATCTTATACCTGAGTCTTGCCCTGCCATGTCTGCTTATGCTAATCTTGTACCAAGGACTTGTCTGGACATGTTTGCCAAGGTTAACCCCTCCCCTTTTGTGACATGGCAGTAATGTAGCAATGATGTAGCAATGATGCTGTACGAAGTGTATTCTGGGATATGGTGGGAAAGTTTTAAAAGTCTTTGTCACCCCATCCTCGGGGTTCAAATTTCCTCTTTGAACCTACTGCACAATAAATTTTGGTCTACGGCTATTTGCTCTGGTTGGTGGCTGGAATCCTTCATTTATTCCACAGGGACTCGCGGGCTCTGCCCGATGAGCTGGGTGACTGAGTAGCCTCATACCTAGATTTTTCCGTAACAGGGTTATTTGTGGGGCCTGCCTGGTGTTTTTACATGACTAGATTGTGTGCTTTTATTTAAAATGCATCTCTGGGTTGTTTAAGGGGCATAGGAATTCGTTCTTTCTTTTTCAGAATATAGTCTGGGCCCCCACAAGGTCTGAGAGACAGTGGACCAGCCCCCTGCTGAAAAAGTTTGCTGACCCCTGTTATAAATGAACATGATTTTATTTCTGAAAGCCATAGTACATCCATCAGCCACTAGAGGGTGATAAAGAACCGTGCGTGTTGTTTTTGGACAGAGGAAATATTCATGTTAGAGGGGAAGGGAGATTCCCCCCCCCCCCTGAGTTTTCTTAAAGTTGATAACGGACAGCACTGGCAACTGTTCCTCTGCCTTCGAGGGTAGCTAGATTTGCAGACATCAGAAGGCGACCGGGCTCATCTGCACACCATCAGCTGATCCAAAGTAATCTGATTTTGTGGGGCTTGTGTGAAACACTGTGCCCCCAAATCCACTGGGGGAGAAGCATTTTCTCTCTGCCCATTTCAAGTTCAGCTGAGGTTTATCAAATATCCAACGCTCATCTCTCCAAGTTCCATTAACAAGCAAGTAAAACACTCACAAGATTGCAAACGCTTATTAAAAAGCAATTTAACAATGTAGTATTTACTTATGTTTATTTCTGAAAGTCTTTCTATGCCGGCTTATCATAAAATATCAGGATGGTATTTAAGAGTATTTTTTAAAAACAACAACTTAAAAACCAAAGAATAGTCTCCAATGCTAGACTACGCAGAGTGGACCCATTTAAAGTAATGGCCTTGGCTAACTTTGTTCCATAAATTTCAATGGGATTTTCTGAGCAGGACTAGTGTTGGATTAGCCCTACTCAGAGCAGACCCATTAAACAAAAGGGCCTATGTTAGTCAAGCTCATCAAATTCAATGGGTTCACAGTACAGTTGGATGCAGCCCAATACAAACAATCTATTGAGGTGACCACAGGCACCTTGGTTGGCCATTCCAGAAATGATGTTGACCAGGCATGTAGTGGCCTGGTGTTCATTTCTGCAGTAGGACCCCTGTCTCCAACGTCCTAGAACTGACCAATCAGCCTGAATTGATCTCACTGTCTGGGTGTGTCAAAGATGCGCCCAGTAACAAGGGAACGTGGCGTGGGTGCTCAGGAAAAACAGTGGGGTAGGGTGTTTTATTTGTTTGTTTGTTTGATTATCATATTTATATCCCACCTCTTTTCTCCCCAGAGCTCATGCAGGTGGCCTGCATAGTTTTCCCCCTCCTCATTTAATCCCCACAACCCTTTGAGACAGGTTAGGCTGAGAGGCAGTGAGGTCACCCCAGTGTGAGTTTCATGGCTGAGTGGGAGAATCTGAACTCTGATCTCTCCCATAGAATCATAGAATTGTAGAGTTGGAAGGGACCCCGAGGGTCATTTAGTCCAACCCCCTGCAATGCAGGAATCTCAACTAAAGCATCGGGGACAGATGGCCATCCAAACTCTGCTTAAAAACCTCCAAGGAAGGAGAGTGAGTCCACAACCTCCCGAGGGAGACTCTTCCAACACCTCTTACCGTCAGGAAGCTTTTCCTGATGTTTAGCCAGAGTCTCCAGGTCCTGGTCCTAGTCTGACCTGCTAACCGCTATCTGAGGTGGGTGCTTTGCTCTCCTGAATGATAGGGCCGGCTCCTTGCATTGTGGTGAGCCATGACTGGAACAGCGAAGAGCATTGGCTTGGCAGAGGGAGAACTGGATCATCCAAATGGCAAGTGGAACTCACTTCTGAAGCAAGAGGTTCTTGCTTCCAAGGCCAGCTTTTCCCTCTCACTTCCAACAGATCAACAACCTTGCCTCTTTCCCAGCCGTCCTCAAGGAGGGGGAGCATTTTGAGTGGCGGGGGGTTATTCCGTATCCCCCGTCTCTCCGTCTCTCCCATGTTGGTCAGAGCCTCAAGGGAAGGGCTACTCCATAAAAACGTCCCGCACAGCCCTCTTGAAAACCCACACCTGCTCCTGCCTGTCGTCTGCATGCCATTGAGTTATCGCCCCAGATGTATGAACAAGGTTTGGAGAGCTGGGCTGAAGGCCAGCATTTAATCTGGGATTCTGTCAGCTCCTCAGAGACAGGGGTGGCCCATGATTCAGAAATAAGGAGAGGGCTTGGGTGGGGAAGGACACAGAGGGAAGATCTGATACTTTACGATCAAAAAGTCCTAACCCTTAACTGCACATATGTATCTTCCCCCCCTACTTTCTCAGAAGGTCATCTAAGTGTCTAGGAGAGGGAGGTCTTCCTCGACATTCAAAGACATGATGGTTGAGGGGCGCAATATGTTTGTGGCCTAGAACTGTGTGAACACAACAACAACTGGGTTTCAAACCCTGAGGGGAAAAGGAAGCAAGACCCTGCTTCCTTCTCTCACCACCATCAACTCACCCCATTCACCATTTCACCAGGCAAATTGGAAGATTCAGGAAATTCCTTCACGCGGCTGGTTGTTAAACCATGGAACTCATTCCTGCAGGAGGCGGGGATGACTGACAACTTGATTGACTTTGAATGTTGTTGTTGTTTAGTCGTTTAGTCGTGTCCGACTCTTCGTGACCCCATGGACCAGAGCACGCCAGGCATTCCTGTCTTCCACTGCCTCCCGCAGTTTGGTCAAACTCATCCTGGTAGCTTCAAGAACACCATCCAACCATCTCGTCCTCTGTCGTCCCCTTCTCCTTGCCCTCCATCTTTCCCAACATCAGGGTCTTTTCCAGGGAGTCTTCTCTTCTCATGAGGTGGCCAAAGTATTGGAGCCTCTGTCCTTCCAGTGAGCACTCAGGGCTGATTTCCTTCAGAATGGAGAGGTTTGATCTTCTTGCAGTCTATGGGACTCTCAAGAGTCTCCTCCAGCACCATAATTCAAAAGCATCAATTCTTTGGCGATCAGCCTTCTCTATGGTCCTTCATGGATCACTGCCTTGGATCCCTTCATGGATCACTGCCTTGCCATGGCGAAGGGGCTAGAATAACTCAGAGAAACTATGAACTATGCCGAGCAGGGCACCAAGATGAACAGGTCATAGTGGAGAGTTTTGACCAAACGTGATCCACCTGGAGGAGGAACCGGCAAGCCACTCCAGTATCCCTGCCAAGAAAACTCCATGGACAAAGACAACAGACTTTGAATGAGAATTAGACAAATTGATGGAGGAGGATAATGCTATCAATGGCTACTAGCCACAATGGCTATGCTCCTCCTCCACAACTGGAAGCGGCAATTGAAATTAACCAGCGCCCCAAAGTTAGGTCCGTTAATTTCAAGGGGTCTGCTCTGAGTAGGCCTTAGCTGGGAGCCAATCCAGAAAGCAGAGGCTTCCTTTCTGGGGGCTCTTCATTGCTAAGAATTTTATCCTTTCAGTCTAAAAAATAAACATAGCAAACTAGCCCCTTCTCTCTCAGAGTACCATAGAACTGTAGAGTTGAAAGGGACTACAAAGGTTATTCTAGACCATGGGTAGGCAAACTAAGGCCCGGGGGCCGGATCCAGCCCAATCACCTTCTAAATCCGGCCCACAGACGGTCCAGGAATCAGCGGGTTTTTACATGAGTAGAATGTGTCCTTTTATTTAATATGCATCTCTGGGTTATTTGTGGGGCATAGGAATTCATTCCTTTCCCCAAAAAAAATATAGTCCGGCCCCCCACAAGGCCTGAGGGAGAGTAGGCCAGCCCCCTGCTGAAAAAGTTTGCTGACCCCTGTTCTAGACCAACCCCTTGCAATGCATGAATCTTTTGCCCAATGTGGGGCTCGAACACACAACCCGGAGATTAAGAGCATTATGCTCCACCAACTAAGCTATCTCTCTCTCTCTCTCTCTCTCTCTCTGTGTCAATTTTCCACATGCCCTGAAGTCTCACTCTGAACAAGGGGAGAAGACCTAGCCGTGGTTATGACCCAACTTTCTGGCTTTTTAAGGGTCTTCTCAAACAGGTGTTTCTTTCCCTGGAGCAGGAAATGAATAACTTCCCATGCCATGAGAGCAGAGCACTAGACTCTTCTGATTCCCTTGGAACACTCTGACATACACTGATGCAATGGCGTGGCAAACCTGTTGCACAAGGGATATGATCGTTCCACTGACTGGCACATACCAGATGGGGTCCTAGCTTCCATGGTCTGTTCTAGAGAGACAGTGTGGTGTAGTGGCTAGAGTGTTGTCCTAAGATCTGTGAGACCAGGGTTCAAATACCCATTTGGCCACGACGTTCACTGGCTGACCTTGACTGCCAGTCACTGCCTCTCAGCCTAAACTGTAGGGATGTGTATGGAAATGAGGAGATGATATATTAGTTAGATATTATCCTTCCTTACTCACATTTGTGAGTACAGCAGAGCACATCCCTTTGCAGCAAAAATGGGAAGCTATTGGTTCAGCTGGTTACAGCCTTTTGGATGAAGCAATCCAGGAAAAAGGCTTTCCCCCTTTTTACCCCCTTAAAACAATAACAGCACAAAAACAGGCTTCTTAGAATAAAACAGAGTTTACACATTTAATAGCAAACTGGAAGCAGGCTTAGGTTGCAGTTACAGGTACATCTGTATATCTAAGGATGATGGAGTCAGAGTCTTTTGACCTCAGACTCAATAACTTGCTACATCTCTGTAGAGATGTGGTGGTAGAAGAGGCACGATGAAGACAAGCGAGCAAGAGAGAGAGAGAGAGAGGTGACCAGCCCTTTTTGTAAGTTACCTCTC